GCCACTGTCCAGATCTGCCTGGAGAGGTGCCTATCTATTCTGATATATGCACTACCTCATTAAATGTTGTTGCCTTTCTCATCATTGTTCCATCTAATGCCTGAAAATCTAGAACCTCTGTTTCACTTTGTTACCCCTTGGAATGAGCTTCTTTCACTGCCCAATATTTCCCTGTTTACCAAGGTTGTAGCTTGTATCATTGTGTTGATGTTTTCCTCATAACACTTAGGCCTACTTTTTTATTAGTATATTTCTGTTTGCTCTTATTAAGGCATGAATTTAATGAGTGTATATTCTTCAGTCTTCAGGTTTTCTACTAACTTTATGCATGGTATAGAATAGCTGACAACTTCCCATTTGGGGAAAGCAGATTAAGTTATTCAATATTCAGCTGATAGCAAAAGCTAAAAGTAACCCTGGGGTGAACAAATATATCCTTCATAATAAAAAAGTGTATCATTAAGGTAAAATGATTAAAGAAAAATTTAATTCATCACTCCTATCATTAAAATAAATATAATGACACATTGGAAGACTCCATAGCATAATTATTTTTTTTTTTGACAGGCAGAGTTAGACAGTCTTTTTCCACTGGTTCATCCCCCAAGCGGCCGCAATGGTCAGCACGTTGTGGCCAGTGTGCTGCACCAATCTGAAGCCAGGAGCCAGGTGCTTCACCCTGGTCTCCCACATGGTTGCATGGCCCAAGGACCTGGGCCATCCTCCACTGCACTCCTGGGCCACAGCAGAGAGCTGGACTGGAAAAGGAGCAACTGGGAGAGAATCCGGCACCCCAACCGGGACTAGAACCTGGGGTGCTGGCACCGCAGGCAGAGGATTAGCCTAGTGAGCCGTGTCACCAGCCCATAGTATAATTTTGGTACCACATTTATTTAGTGTCCAAAAAGTAATTGCTCCTTGTGAACAGAACACCAATTTTGGTTCAGGTGTGTATGGGAAAGCAATATTTGTTTAGAACACAGAAAAAAATTTTAATAGATATGTAATGATACTATGTGCAACATAATATGACAAAATAGGAAAGTATCTTTATGCTAAAAAGGAAACACTGTCATCTTCATACTGTAAAATTTTTCATATGATGGAGCAAAAGTGCTATGGCACTTTTTTATTTAATTCAACACTGAAAACTAAGAATCAATGTGCTCCAACTGAAAAATGATTGGATAAATATATTTCTTACTGCATAGTGAACAAGTAACCGTTTACTTGAAATTCAAATTATGGATGAAATGTAGGAAATTAGAAAAGTCCAGATTTCCAAGGAAAGGGGAGCAAAGAAATTCATAGAGAGAAAACAGAACATCTGTTCTCTTCTTCACAATAACATAAACACATTTTAAATTGCAAAAGTTCATATTTTTGCCTAAGAAATATGGCAATCTATAGTGAAGGTTCCTTTGTAAAATGTGAAAAGACATAGATAAATTCAGTACCCAGGAAATCAATAAATGAAGATGAAGTGAACATTGTGAATTATCTGACTGCTTGAAGCCCTGAATTGGATGCATTAATTTCACTGAAAATCTAAATTTGGGGCTGGCACTGTGGCATAGCGGGTAAAGCCAATGCCTGCAGTGCTGGCATCCCAAAAGATTGCTGGTTCAAGTCCCAGTTGCTCCACTTCTGATCCAGCTCTCTGCTATGGCCTGGCAAAGCAATAGAAGAAGGTCCAAGTCCTTGGGCTCCTGCACTTGCATGGGAGATCTGGAAGAAGCTCCTGACTACTGGCTTCTGATAGGTGTAGCTCTGGCTGTTGTGGCTAATAGAGGAGTGGACCAGTGGATTGAAGACCTTTCTCTCTCTCTCTCTCTCTCTCTCTGTCCTTCATTCTCTGTGTAACTCTTTCAAATTAATAAATAGGTCTTAAAAAAAGAAAATCTAACTTAAGAATCCTAATTTGACAAGAGTTGATTTATTCGAGTATAAAATCTTCAAAGAGCCTACAAAAAAGAACATAATTAGCTAGTTTTAGAAAATATTTCCTTTTTAAAAAATTAATATAAAATAAATAAATGAATTATGAAATGGATATTTAAGAAATATTCATTAAAAAGCAAGCCATTAAGAAATGTCATGAAGAAGTCATATGATAGAAAATACTACTATACTGACTATACTTTTATAAGTTATATTAGTCTAAAATTTTAACACTCAACATATTTATATCTAAGTGTTTCATATATTTGGATAATAGAAAGTTTTGTTTCTTCAGTACCTTCATTACTTTCTAAAACTTTTCACTTGTAAGTCAATTATTTTGGGGTGTGTGTTTTTAATTGCTTTCAGTTTTAGATACTTGTCTAAAACATGAATAAATAAAAACTAAAAGTTTTTACTGAAATAAACATATATATTCACTGCATTTTTCTCAGAACCATTGGAAATACCCTGTGCACTCAGAAGAGCTGAAGATGCGTACCAAATATATATATTTTACAAGAATGCTCAGAACAATCTGTTCATAACATGAAAGTTTGCAGACAATCCAAATCATCATCTTTGAATGATTGAATACGTTGAATGTGGAAAAGCCATAAGATTAAATCTTATACAGCTATAAAAATAATGAAGGGTACCTGCTATAATTGGGTGAATCAAAAATGTAATGCCATGTGAAAGAAGCTAGATCTAAGAGGTCTCATATTATCTCACTCCATTGCCAGCAACTGTCCAGAGTAGGTAAACACATAGCAAATAAAGGAGATGAATGGCTGCATAAACAACATTCATGGAAACTTGCAAGTGGCTGCTTAATGCAGAAAGGCTTTGATTACAGGGTGATGCAAAAGGCTCAATCTACAGACATGATTATTGCTCAAACTTTTGAACATACTTTATAGAAAATCAATGTAGAATTTGAATGTGAAAGTACTGTAATACCACATCCTTGTCAAATACTACAGTGGTTCTTATTGGGTATGTGAATTTCACCTCAATAATAGCATCATTGTCTCCTGGAATAAGAACTCTAAGCAAATGACAAAATGATAGCAGTCAAATGGTAGATGAGACAGTTATAGAATCACTCCTATGTAATTGTAAAAAGCACCTCCAGATGTGATAAAAATAAAAATGCCATTTCCAAATAGCTAGAAAATAATTAGTTACTAAGATGTTTGTGAACAATACAGTGTTCAAAGAGAAAAATGCGCATGGACTAGTTGACTCTAGTATTTGGAAAGAAATTCCACTTCAATTATAACCACAAAATGACAAATTCTCCATGACATTTAGAGAAACAATATAAAGCAGGTATAACTGAGACATGTTTTCAAATATGAACATAAAAAACTTAATATTTTATCCCTTTTAGTTTTTTTGTTCTACTTAATGCTATTGGTTGAACTCTTTAATTAACACAAAATTATTCTTAGGTGTTTAAATTTAACTGAAAAGTGATCCCTGTGAAATATAAGAGTGGGAATAAGAGAGGCAGGAGATGTACAATTGGGACATGCTCAAGCTGACTTGCCCTAAATGGTAGAGTTAGATATGTGCCAGGGAATTCCAATTCAATCCCATCAAGGTGGCATGTACCAATGCCATCTCACTAGTCCAAGTGGTCAGTTTCCGTTCACAATGGATCAAATTGAAAGGATTAAGAGTCAAAGGGATCACATAAACAAGACTAGTGTCTGCTAATATTCACTGATATAATCAAAAAGAGAGAGAACGATCCAATATGGGAACCAGGATACACAGCAGACTCATAGAATGGCAGATGTCCTAAACAGCACTCTGGCCTCAGAATCAGCCCTTAAGGCATTTGGTTCTGGCTGAAGAGCCCATGAGAGTATTTTAGGCATGGAAAGCCAAGACACTCTGGCAAAAAAATGACCTAAATGAAAGATCTCTGTGAATGAGATCTCAGTGGAAAGAATGGGCCATCAAAGAAGGAGGTACCTTTCTCTGAATGGAGGAGAGAACTTCCACTTTGACTATGATCTTGTCTAAATAAGATTGAATTGGCGAACTCAAAAGGCTTCCATAGCCTTGGCAGCTCATGACAAGTGCCTAGGGTGAATACTGACGCCATAAATAAGAGTGTGAATTGTTAACACAACAACAAGTCACTGTGCACTGACTCCTCATGTAGGATCTCTGTCCTTAATGTGTTGTTCAATGTGAATTAATGTTATAACTGGTACTCAAACAGTACTTTATACTTTGTGTTTCTGTGTGGGTGCAAACTGTTGCAATCTTTACTTATTATATACTAAACTGATCTTCTGTATATAAAGATAATTGAAAATGAATCTTGATGTGAATGGAATGGGAGAGGGTGCTGGAGATCGGAGGGTTGCGGATGTGAAGGAAGTTATTGGGGGAAAAGCCACTGTAATCCAAAAGCTGTACTTTGGAAATTTCTATTAATTAAAGAAAAGTTAAAACAACAAATAAGAACATATATGGTATCTAAAGTAATAAACAAAGATGAAATTAATTACTCTGCATATTTTCAGGGATAGCCCTATCATATGAAATGTAATTGCTATTTATATGTTGATGCTCAGCTTTGTTTCGGTTTTAAACAGTGATTCCTTTTAGTTTATAAGAAAATATTTCTAGCCTGCTTTGCATTTTTGAGAGGCAGAGAGAGAAGCAGAGAGAAAGAGAGAGATGGTTGAGAGTCCAACCTTTCACTACTTCACGTCTCATTTCCCATAGTGGTGTATCTTGGATTGAGTCCAGAAGCCAGGAGCCAGGGAAAAAAAATTGACAGGGACACAAAGTGTTTAATATCCTAGCAATCTGATATCAGGGGTCAGAACCAAATTACAAACCTAGCTACTGTCATGTGGGGCAAGATTAATTAATTGCTAGGCCAAATACCTAAACAAAAATGTTTTTTTAGTTTTGCTTATTTTCTAATGTTGGAAATTTACTACCAATTTGGTTTTTGTTTACAAAATTTGAAAATGTAGAGAAACTAGTGAGAAAAATATTTTAGGGTCTCCTACAACTGCATTGATTCCTTAAGCTTTCAAAGAATTTTTATCAGGTTTTATGAGAATAACATAGCACTTGGGGGCAAAGATGCAGCCCAGGAGCCCTGCACTGGAGGCCAAGATGGAGAAGACTTCCACGGCCACCATGACCTTCCCCTTGGTGCTGTGGCAGACAGGCAGGAAGGTCACCCAGACACTGCAGAACACCAGCATGCTGAACGTCAGAAACTTGGCTTCATTGAATGTGTCAGGCAGGTTCCTGGCTAGGAAAGCCACAGTGAAGCTCGCCAGGGCCAAGGGACCCAGGTAGCCCAGGACACAGTAGAAGGCAGTGACCGAGCCCTTATTGCACACCAGGATGATGTAGTCGTGCTCAGAATGTTTATCTACCTCAATAAAGGGAGGAGAGGTTCCCAACCAGATGCCACAGAGAACCAGTTGGATCATGGAGCAGATGGGAATGATGAAGTTAGAAGTGCCTGATACCAATAACCACCTTATCGTTCTTCCAGGTTTCAGAGCTTTGAAGGCCAGAATCACAGTGATGGTCTTGGCCAGCACGGTGGAAACAGCCACTGTGAACACAAGGCAAAATGCTATTTGCTGGAGGAGGCAGGTGGCTGTGTTGGGACGGCCAAGGAAGAGTAAGGAGCAGAGGAAGCACAGGAGGAGGGCGATGAGCAGGATGTAGCTGAGGGTCCTGTTATTGGCCTTGACGATGGGAGTGTCTCGGTGCTTCACAAAAACCCAGAGGACTGCAGCTGTTAGGACAGAGAAACACAGAGCCATGCAGGCCAGGGCCATCCTCAGGAATTCCTCAAAGGCTAAGAAGGTCACCAGCTTGGGGAGGCAGCGGTTTCTCTCCAAGTTTGGGTACTCGTGAGCTGCACATGGGATGCACTGCTCTGCATCTGTGGGAAAAAGGAAGACTCTGTGTTTCCATTTCACAATTTGCTCCTTTTTTCCTGTTAGGGAAAAAGCTCACCTTCGCAATTTCATGGTGAGTTCAGCCTGGGGTGATGTATACCAAGAAACACTAAAGTATTTCTGCGCACCTAATCAAGGCAGAATGCTCATCTGCAGGTGGAGGAAACACATTCAAACTAGCTCATTAGCACATGGGGCTCTGTGTTCTCATCCTATCTGTCAGAGATTTTTTTCAGTGTTTAATTTCTAAACAATGAGGAATTTTCTATATTTCATATGGGCTTGGATTCTTCCCAGCCCTCCTCTCTACAGTCCTCAGTGTAGTTTCTGGAGAAATCCTTTGTTCACATGGGTTAGAATATTTATCTGGGATCATCAGGTTTAAGGATTTTCTTCCTTATCCTCAAATGGAAATGACCTATATAAACGGTCTTTCATTCCTGGGACCTCCATTCCTAATTTCCTACATGGATTCATCTTGTCCATGTTTCCATATAAATGTTGTGATACTGAGGTTGAATAGATGGGAACTGTAGCTGATTGTCATTCTGTGGTTCTATGGAAATAAGTGGTATTTTCATCATGTTACTCAAAGACAACTAGGCATTCTTGTTAACTTAAAATTATGGCTTGTTCACCATTATAGCTCATGTGAACAGCATATTGGACACCACATTGTCTCACTTGAAATAATGCACTTCTATGGCTACAGCATTAAAAAAGTCATTAAGAACAGGTCAGTTGGAAAATATGTATCTCTTTCAATCAAATTTCAATTGTACAAACCAAAATAGGGTCAGTGTTGTGGCACGGTAGGTAAAGCCACCAACTGCAATGCCAGATCCCTTATGGACATTGTTTTGTGTTTAAGTTGATGAATTTCCAATCCAGCTCCCTGCTAATCACCTAGAAAGAGCAGCAGAAAATTCCACAAGCACTTGTGACCCCAACACCCATGTGGGAGACCCAAAAGGAAGCTCCTGGCTCCCAGTACCTGCTGGCCCATCCCAGGCCATTGTTCCATCTGAGGAGTGAACAATTAGATTCTCTCTCTCTCTCTCTCTCTCTCTCTCTCATTCACTGATTCTCTGATTTTCAAATAAAATAAATCTTTTTTAAAAAGAAAGAAAATGGTGGGCCGGCGCCGTGGCTCACTAGGCTAACCCTCCACCTAACGGCACTGGCACACCGGGTTCTAGTCCCAGTCGGGGCGCCAGATTCTGTCCTGGTTGCCCCTCTTCCAGGCCAGCTCTCTGCTATGGCCCGGGAGTGCAGTGGAGGATGGCCCAGGTGCTTGGGCCCTGCATCTGCATGGGAGACCAGGAGAAGCACCTGGCTCCTACCTTTGGATCAGCGCGGTGTGCCGGCCACAGCGTGCCAGCTGCGGTGGCCATTGGAGGGTGAACCAATGGCAAAAGGAAGACCTTTCTCTCTGTCTCTCTCTCACTGTCCACTTTGCCTGAAAAGAAGAAAGAAAGAAAGAAAGAAAGAAAGAAGAAAGAAAGAAAGAAGAAAGAAAGAAAGAAAGAAAGAAAGAAAGAAAGAAAGAAAGAAAGAAAGAAAGAAAGAAAATGGTATTAGTTGGGCTACACTTGCAGTAAGAGTCCTACCCTGTTTTTATCCTTGGTACTCATGCAAGAGTACAAGCTTCAGGGAGTGGAGTTGTGATGTAGTGGTTAAAGCCACTGCCTGCAATGATGGCATCTGAACAGGTGCCTGTTCATGTCTTGACTGCTGCACTTCTAAATGATCTCCATGCCAATGTGCCTAGGAAACCAGCAGAGGAAGGCCCAAATGCTTGGGCCTCTGCAAGACCTGGAAGAAGCTCCTGGTTTCTGACTTTGGCCTGGCCCAGTCTAGGCCATTGGAGCTATCTGGGGAGTGAATCTACCTGATGGAAGATCCTCACTGTATCCTCTCTCCCTCTCTGTTATGCTCTCCCCCTCTCTTCAACTCTGACTTTCAAACAAATAAATAATTTTGTAAAAAAATAGAATATAAACATTTGCAAAAATTTAGAGGAATTTTCTCCTCCAATTCTTTTCAATGTGTTCCCTTTCCTTTTCATAGAATCTGTAGGTACATCTGGCAACTATCTTGGAGATACACCAGGAATATATAGGCAAGTGTATATTGTACAATGGGTCAGTGCATGATACTTTAGTTTTCTTTCTTTCACTAAATTACTGAATGTTGAATATTTTCACTGAAACTTGAAGTCATTTTTCTGTTTTCTTCGTACTGGAAATTCTGCATAGAATGTTTGAAGATACTGAAATCAAAATATTTCTAGAGCTAAGATGATGTGAATTGAAACATCATTTTGGAAGAATTCAAATTATTATAAACATATTTATTATACATTGAACAGTGGAACTATTTACCAATGAGTCTTAGTACATTTTTACATTTCTCAAACATTTGGCTTTGATATATAATTTGATATTTGTGTCTATATTTCAGCTTATTTTTCTCATCTTCTTGCATATCCATAAAGGACAAGTGGTGTCATTCATTCTGTGTACTGAACAGCATGCACCATGTCAAAGATGTAGCACAGAAAGTAATACAATATTCCCATCACAATTCATGTGGATTAGCTCCCTGTTTTTCAGTTGTCTATGAAAAAGTTTTGAATTCAAGACTTCTAGATAACCATACAGAGCCTTAACAAATACAAATACAAATATTATATTTCTTGTTTAGATCTCAGATTGAGAGAATCTCATTCAGTGCTGGATCGAAAAAAAGGATACCAGATCGAATCAGTGTCACAGTTGAGCTTGAGACAATTAGCACATCCAGAAAACAGCTTACACATAATGAGATGGCAATACTGAGCATAGAGCAAGGGTATGGAAATAATGAGTGAAGACTCTTATTTCATCGCAAATATTCTTGGTTTCCTTTTTTATCAAGAAATAGTTAAGATGGTAGAGTTCTCAAGGTAAGTTATATGTATTCTACCTGTATGATTGGAAATGTCTCTCTCTGGACAAACAACGCAAGTATAGCAGCAGACATGTTTTCCTTCCTGTGGTATTTTCCTGAATCCTGGACCACACCTTTGGCTACACAAAGACTGAGGAGTCTGATGGGGAAAGAGAAGTGATGGTCATTGCTTTGCATGACATTAGGCACTGTGATAGGATGTCTCTAATTGCCTTTTCACCCCAAGGTCATCACTATGTCTTCCTCAGGCTGTATCTTATTGATTTTATTTAGACATCCAATGGGAGTTTCTAAGATGCTCATTCCAGGTTTGTCAACTGCCTACCAAATATTATGAGGCCACCTGATGGGTTTAATTTTGCTCATCATTGGATCTATGCTTCTGGGCATTTGTTTCTTTATTGAATTGCTTCCTCTGAAATCTTTTCAGTTTAGCTTTTTATGTGGTAATTCTTCTAGAATGTGTATGTCTGAGACTATTTTACATGCCTCTTTCTTTGATTGAGTAGAAGATTTTACATGCCAGAAAAATATCCAAAAAGCCTGATGACTAGATACACTTCTGATAGTAACTACTAAGAAAAAGACAAGCCCACAAAGAAAAGGTGAACAAATGTAATAATCCATTGATTGTGCATCTATCTACTTCTGGACTTCTATACCCAGGGAGGGCATCAATTCCTGATACTGCCAATGCATTTGTTATATAACACACGATAGTTATAAAAATTACCCGCAAAACTGTCTGGGGTATTTCAACAGCACAATGATGATAAACTTTTGGATCACAGCTGTGAGGTGGTATTCAGAAAAAAAAACTGAACTGATTAGCAACCACAATGACAAAGGAAAATTGGAAATTTTTCTACAAATGCTCAATTCATAATTTACTTGTGTTCATACTGCATCAAAACATAATAATGACTCACCAAATGATGAAAATAACACTATCTTTACAAATATACATGTAATACATGAAGTTTTTCACATAAAAAGTTGAAATAAAATTTTAGAATTTGTAGTAACATACATTTAGTAATTTTATGTCTAAGTATTGATCTCTATCTCTATTTCTTAACATTCTTTCTAGTCACTCAACCTAGGAATGCATTAACATGCCCAGAGAAAAACAATAATATCTAATCCAAACGTGCACTTCTAATACACACTGGCTCATATATGTGTAAGGAACACCATATCTTTTGAAGCCAATATGTGAATTGAGAATTGAATGCTTATGTAAAGTCTCACACATAATATCCTCCCATACTTTCATCAAACCCTCTGTATGTATCCAATATTCCCATGGATCCACACCTCCTTGAATGCAACTGGCCATTCTATCATCTCTTCATTGAGGACCAAGTCTTCACCACGTGCACACTCAGGGGAAAACTCCCCGATTTTAATCAGAAAACAAAATCCAGCAGGAAAATTCACAATGTTGTGGATATCGTAGTGTGCCATATGGTGTCTTGTATCATGGAAGGAAACATCCTCCCCAGCACTGTTGGTAAATTGGATTTTCCTCAGGAGTGGATGAAGCTGGAGGGGAGGCACAATTGGAAAGAGGGAGAACATTCAGATTAGAGGTGGGAGGTGCACACAACTTAGAAATCCTTCTTTTCCCTCCTGTCTATCCTCAGGGTTTCTCTTGGGCAGAGGCTGTTTTTTCTGACTGATCAAAATATCATGGGTTTGGGGCTGGTGCCATGGCCCACTTGATTAATCCTCCGCCTGTGGTGTCAGCATCCAATATGGGCACCAGGTTCTAGTGCTAGTTGCTCCTCTTCCAGTCCAGCTCTCTGCTGTGGCCCGGGAAGGCAGTGGAGGAGGCCCGAGTGCTTGGGCTTCTGCATCCTCATGGGAGACCAGGAAGAATCACCTGGCTCCTGGCTTTGGATCTGTGCAGTGCCAGTTTAGTGGCATTTTGGGGAGTGAACCAATGGAAGGAAGAGCTTTCTCTCTGTCTCTCTCACTGTCTATAACTCTACCTGTGAAATACATTAAAAAATCATGGGTTCAAGTGTGGAGAATTCTGCTTCCCCCTATTAAAGTGATGGGGAGTATCTGATTCTAAACAGAGAAATCACAGGATGAGTCCCACAGGATTGCTGACCATGAAACATTGGTTATTGGTTTAGGAAAGCTCATCTTAGTTCTTCCACATGAGAATAGCATGACTTTTTTTTATAGCATGACTTTATATGCAAAATATCTTGATTATTGTGAGTGCACTTGTGTGCACTTTTAAAATTTTGACCCTGCCTCCCCACCAAAAAGTGAAATTCTCTCTTTAGCAAAAAAAAAAAAAATAGATTCACATTCACATTACGCATAGTGAAATATACCAGTTCCTTAAATAGAATATATAAATGTTTTGGTGATGGGTACTACATAATATAGAATAGAAGAAAAAAAACAAAATATAATAAAATGAAACTGACATCTCAGGCTTTGATTTGTGTTTATTGCCCTTGTGTAAATTCCTTGGAGCAGTTATCTTTCTACTTTTCATTTGAGGAACATTATGATTAGTGAGGCATTAACTCTGTGATTTAAAGTAAATTGAAATTATGTTGTTGCAAAAATTAAAAGGAAAAAAGGAATGGAAGAAGGGGGGACTGAGAAGGGAAAGGAAGAAAGGATGGTTATCTTCTTAAAATTTTATCAATGAAATAACATGAAATCTGTTCTTTTATATCAGTAAATTTTGTTTTAATTTAACAACATTTGGGCTGATCTTGTGGTGCAGCAGGTCAAGCCACTTTCCACAATTCCTAGCACCCCTATGAGTGCCGATGGAAACCCCAACTGCTCTACTCCTGATTCAGCTTTCTGCTAATGTGTCTGGGAAAGCAGCACTTGAGGTTCCAAGTGCTTGGGCCCCTGCACTCATGTAGGAGAGCAATTGATGCTCCTGCATCCTGGCTTGACCTGGCCTAATCCTGGTACATGCAGCCATTGTGGAGTGAATCAGGAGATGCTAGATCTGTCTCCTCTTTTCTCTGTCTCTCTCTTTCTCATAGTAATTCTGATTTTGAAATAATTTTTTAAAAGTTTAAGAAAACTGAAAATAATATCAGTTGAATCAAATTCAATGAATTAGAAATCCAAGCATAATTTTTCTAAATAAACATTTCCCCAAATCTGCTTGTACATCTCTGGTTGCCGCTGGTAGTTCTTAACTTACAAAAATGTGTATGATGTGTATGTGTAGTTTATTTGTATAACATTTTTTACCTCAGTAGAGTTTATTGTTCCATGGCTTTTCTTTCTCTCTTTGCACTTTGACTATTTTTTGTTGAGAATACAGCTACCTTTTGAGATTATAGGGAATATTTTATAACCAAATAGATTTTTAGCTGCTGTGGGATACACGATAGTCCATATTTCCTAGCTTTGCAATCCTTCCAAACGAAAGAGTAGTTTTAATCATTTCCTTCTTCCAAGTCTTTGTAATGACCTTTATTAAGGTATTTTATAGCATTTCATTCTACATTAAATAACATTATTCTTCTATGATCTGTCATTATTGAGTCTGAATTGAAAATATTACATGGAGCTAAATTGATTCCCAAGAAAAAGACAGTTCTTCAACAAGTGGTGTTGGGAAATTTGGATTTCCACATCTAGAGATATGAAATCAGACTGCTACCTTACACCCTATACAAATATCAATTTAAAATTTATCAAGGATTTAAGCTTTAAACCAAAACCATCAAATTACAAGAGGAAAACATTGGGGAAACACGGCAAGATATTTACCTAGGCAACAATTTCTTGGATAAGATCCAAGAAATAAAGGCAATAAAGGCAACAATATACATTAAGCTAAGTAACTTCTGCTCAGCAAAAGACACACTCATCCAAGTGAAGACACTACTTACAGAATGGGGGAAAATATTTGCAAAACATGGATCCAATAAAGTATTAATCTCCAGATTGTATAAGGAGTTCAAAAAACTTAACAGCAACATACCCAACAATCTAGTTAAGAAGTGAACTAAAGATATGAACAGGTATTTTTCAAAGGATGAAATACAAATGGTCAAGAGAAACATGAAAAGATGCTCAGGACCAGTAACCATCAGGGAAGTGCCAATAAAAACTAAAGTGAGATTTCACTTGCCCCAAATTTGAATGAATATTATCCAAAATTTGAAAAATAAATTCTGCTGAGGGTCTGGAAAAAAATACCCCAATACAATTTATGGGAATGATTGTAAGCTGGTACAACCATAATGGAAGACAGGAGAGGAATTTTTCAGAAAACCAATACTAGTTCTACCACATGGCCCAGTAGTCTCACACCTGAGAATGTATTCAAAGGAAATGACATCAACACATGAAAGAGTCGCCTGCACTCAGAATTCTATAGCAGCTTAATGTGCAATACCTTAGAAGTGCAACCATCTAGATGTCCATCAACTGATGACTGGGTGAAGGAATTGTGATATATATTTGAATATTACTCAGACATGATTAAGAATGAAATCTTGACATTTAAAACTGGAGGTCATTACAGTAAATTATATAAGCCTGAACTACAAAAATATCATGTTTCTCTTATTTGTGCTAGCTAATATATAGAGTATAAAATTCTGTGGTGTCAGATCATTGGCTATGTAATTTTAATATTGCTTCACTGGGTCATATCTTGTTAATGACAATATGCTCCTCTTTCACATGTGAAAAAAGAAATTGAGTGGGGGGATACAGAGCTCATTTGGGTACTAGAAATACTATGTTGTATATTTGGGTGTTGGTTATCAGTGTGATCAGATGACCAAAACTATTTATCTGTAGACTTAAGTGCATTTCTAAGTATGTATACTGTTTTTAAATATTTTCAACAAGTTCCATAGCAGGAAATGTTTTTTAAGTGTTCGATAGCAGATAAAAATTCCTCCACACACAGATAACAATTAAAGGTGTATCTATGCCTGGTGTGGTGTGAAAGAGCCCACTAATCATCCTGCCTGATCATGCCAATCTCAGCATGAAAACACGGTCATGTGGTACTACAATAAAAATACCCGAGAATGCCATCAGAAGTGCAATGCATATCCTGTTTTGAGAGATGTGTACCTGCCATGGAAGAATACTAGGTTGAGCTGCAACTCCTGTAGATCCTTTTTCTATTTGCTCTGAAAGCATCTTATGGAGGGCATGGGCCACTGCATACACAGCATTGTAGATGAAATAGCTGGAGTCAGATATGGTCAGCATGTCAATGCGTCCTGGGAAAAACTCAGAGGAAGCATTTGGTGGGCAGACTCCAATTGTTCCACAAAGTGACCCAGGAGGTAAGCAGTGAAAAGCATGAAGCCATAGTTGACTGAGGAAGAAATCTTCTGGGTAGTGGGAGGGGTCCACTGTCTTGACAAAATGGTTGAGGCCAGGGATTTCTTCCTTGTGGTGTGAAAATGAGAAGCCTCCATGAAAAGAGTGCAGCATGTGGTCTGTCTCCTTCACAACTATCTCCCACTTTGTAGCCATGATCCACACCTTCCCCAGGGTTAAATAGTATTTGCTTAGAAATTCCACGGTATAGAGGCCCCTCACATCACCATATAGAATATGCACATTTGCTGATGCAATTCGGATCCCCTCTAGGAAAGAGATTTCAGTTTCTTCATACCTTGACTTAGTGTCAGGGAGCTTTACTGAATAGGCCAAGCAGACACCTTTCTTTACCATCTCAGCTTCAATATCCTGGAGGAACTGCTCTCCTTTCATGTCATTAGATACAAAGATCGCCACCCAAATCCAGCCAAAATGTAGTAGCAAGGAGAGCATTCCATAGGCCAGAGAGCTGTCACTAGTGGCCATCTGATAGAGTGATGGAAACTTGTCTCTCTCACTTAGCATGGGATCAAAAGGACCGTATGTGATCTGAATGGAAAGAAAATCATGATGATCTGAGGTTTGTGGGTAGAGAAGACCACATTCTATCATCTGAGTTCAGAGAAATCCATGCTTCAATGCTTATTGCTTTCAGGATGAGAATGGATATCCTCATTCACAGCATGCAAAAATGTGTAAGATACCTGTAAATCTTCATATTCATTTGAGGGAAGAAGAGTGCATGGATTTTGGACCAGGACATTGGTCCTTCGCACTTCTCACCCCATGTCGTATGTGGAAAATTTCCCCCTGAAACTGGTGTTATATGTTACCTCTGAGACAATTTTTACTGTGTTGATTTCTTGATAGTTTGAATTTCATTAATTTTGCTTGCATAACCTAAATTGCCTTGAAGAATACACTCACCTATGATCTCAGAGTTTTGTTAAAATTGCTTTTCACAAAGAATTTTTCTATACCGTTCCTGTCTGCGCTTGCTGGTGATGTGTGTAGATTGCTACTTGTTTGAAGTGGGTCTCCTTTAAAAGTCCTGGGAATGTGAATGCAGACCCTTGGGAGAAGATTAATTGGCTTATGTAACTGGGTTCCTGACACCTACTTGGGAGATTTGAATTGAGTCCCAGGCCCCTCGGTTTTCGAAGGACAATCAGCACCAGCACCATAGTCAGTATTTGGTGATTAAACTAGTGAAGGGGTGTACACTGTCTACCTACGTCTTTGTTTCTCCATCCATGAAACTCACACTAAGATTGAAATGTCTGAGTAGAACATGGAAAGTGAACTGGAGGCCCTGTGAAGGAATCTGCTGAATGTCAGGAAGGAAGGACTGAGCGTAGGGAGAGAGTGAAATATCTAAATCTAGCTCAGCCCCAAACACTCTTTGATGATCTTTGGAACTGCCATTGTCCTAAGTGGGTTCCAAATGGACAGTACTGTCCTAGGTCTTTATATATGCATATCTAACATGCAGTCATCCTAGGATATCTCTTTGCTGTATGTATTTTCTCTGAAAGTCAACAATCAACATTCCCAGCAGGTGGGGATGGATACATTGGCCATAGATGTGGATCTGGGCTGAGGCTCTCACCTTCCACTGCTCCTTCCCTTTCTCACAATCCAAGGAATTCCCCAAAGTCTGTTTCAACTAATACTGGATTATGTCACTTGGCTTCCACAGGACCTTGCCTTAGATGTCACAGGTCTGGTGGGAGATGGAAGCATTTCTTACCAGATTTCACAACCCATTTACCTGTGGGGTTTTGTACAGCTCCAACATTGTCCCAATTTCAGCCAAAAATGCTGATGTGGTTCCAGCAATTATGGCAACCGTCTTGCCTTGTGTCTGGCAGGTGTAGTTAGGGATGAGATGGTGCTTTCCAGTCAGCCAGTGCAGAGTGCTCCTCAGGGTGAACTGGCCACTGGTTACAGAATTGTAGAGTTGGAAACCCAGGGTCAGGTTGGGGAGGAGCTGGGGGTCCTTATTGATCTCCTGGATAGCAAAGCGGAAGGCCAGCACGTATTGGTAGTTCTTCCACAGCCACCTAAAGAGAGGAGCAACATCAGGGAGATGGGTGAGACCAAGGAATTCAGAGCAACACCACAGCCATGCCGTGAAGCAGCAATGGTCAGACTCAGACTGTTACTGAGTGGTGTCTCAGCTCTGGCAACTGGAGGAGATGTGAGTGAGGTTCCAAGGGCTCTAGGAAATTGTGGGATTCCCCTTTGGACTCCTCTGAAGCAAATTTTGTAATGATCACATTCACCTACTCAATCCCTTGAAAAAAGCCTTGATGTGTCCCAACATGGGATTTCACTTCTACTTAGGGGTGGAACCCAAGAGGCAAACATCTCTATTTTCAGTACCTTCTGAAATAGTTGAATACCATCTGGCTTATCAGTCATTTTATCATTTGGGAACATCTCTAATCTATTCACCAAAGCCATTTTCATGAGCCCTTTCTGTAATTTCCCTGTATCATCATTCACAGAAGCAATTTTGTTCAAATATATTTGCCTTGAAAAAGAACATTTTTTTCAGAATGTGAAATTTCAGAATATTTACAATGTTCACCTTAGTTTTATACACTGTTTTCCACATCACTGAATTCTATTTTATCATTTCATTTTTTTATTCTTTAACATTTTCTGCATGACTTATGCAGAATTATAATTTGTTGGTATTAGTAATGGCTCACAAATTTTACCTGAACAAGAGTGTAGATGTTTTGTTTTCACACAGTGGATAGCTTTTTGCCTCTTCTTTGAAATGTTTCCTTACTTCTATATTTCAAATGTAATTTGAGTGTCAATAAAATACATATTTGTCAATAGATTATGTGGGATTAAATAAATTTATGCTATTATCTGCTGTTTAGGTGCATTGATTCATGTGTTTGAATGTTGAAGTTGTTAGATTGTCATTTCAAGATGATTTACATTCATGCACTATGTCTGCATATTTTGCAAATGGCAGTGTTTGATTTTAGGGCAAGTGCATTTTTCTCAAGTTTCACACAATTTTGTATTATTCTTACAGAATTTGAAACTTTGCTTTTTTACCTAAAAATAGTCAAATTTTGTTCCATTCAGTAAATGGTTGATTTCAAAAGCTTTTTATATAGAAACAGTGTTTACTTATAATACACTAAGTAGAACCATCAAAAAATATGCTACTGAAAACTGTTCCATACTTAGTTTAACTTATCTGAATGAAAAATAAGAACATTACATTTTGAAACATTTTGAAGTGTTTCTTACTTTTATCATTTTGCTTAATTGCAACTAATTCCCCTATAAGGTGATTTTTATTCACTCATAGCACTTGCTGTCAGCTGCAAGCTGATGAGTTTACTTCTTCTTTCCCCATATAGAAGGCTGCCGGGTCTTAAGTTAAGTCCCTGCACATTAATTTCAAGACTCTTGGAGGCTGATCAGGAGGTGAGATCAATAGAGTGAATACAAAATGTCTGTTTCTCACTCTCTGCAGTAGTGGAGAGCAAGCAGAAAATGGAAAGGGAAGGTTGCAAAAAGCAAAAGAAGGGAAGGAACTCAGCTTTCATTGATTCATTGATTTGCATTCCTGCCGCTTCTGTATATGATTTTTTTTTTCAAAATTCTTAAGTGCAATCAACCACTCACAGATAGAAGGAAACACTCTCTCACAGTCTGAACCACAGTTGACACATAAATCAATGTTGGACTTACCTGTTTGTCTCCATTTTATCCATTGGCCTGGATAAAAAAGATAACCGGATCATGTTTGATTCTGGTTTCAGAAAGTAAAGGGGGAAAAACCCACCCAGTACCAGGACTCCATCTCTGTAGACACTTGGTCTCATGGAATTATAACAGTTCCTGGGAGGTATGTCCTGTGAACTGTATGAGGAATTCAGGAGTATGTTGAGAAAAATCACAGAAAACAACATGTCAAGTGAACCAAACATAAAGTTAAAGGCTGAAGTCTTTGCTCATATTAAGAGAAAATTGTTTTGATTATGTCTGTTGCCTCAACCCCTGTAGGGAGACCAGATTTTTATGTAGGGCACAACTGATGCAAGTATTTCTGTATGCCCTCAAGCTGTAGACAATATGTGCTAACTACTGAGTCACACAGGGACACAACCAGAATCACAAGGAAGAAATATCAAAAGAGTCTCAGGGCTGAGGCCTTGCCATACTGTCCCTTTGATAAGAAGAGCTCTGGCTTTTATATATTTTATTGCTTCATTTCTGTCCCATGCAGGAACTCATGGCATCACCCTGCCCTGAGGCTATGCACCTGCCACTCTCCATTATGGGGAAAAACAGCTTTGGAAAACATGCTTTGGACTCTCATTGCTCCCTAGGGCATTGCTGGGACAGAGCTCTGCAAACCTGTGTGCACAGGGGCCAAGAGTTGTTAGGCCACTCAACTGTTTTGAGGCATTTGGCAACTGTAGAAAGAATTAACATTGGAATTAAAAAAACACACTCAGTTTCATCATTCCACATGACCATTCATCAAGAAGGTGAAAGGTCACATTTGCCACTGATGACCATATGTGCACCCCAAAAGTCTCTTCATGGCTCTGCCTAATATCTCTCAGCGCATAGTACTTTAACAGAGAAACGGGCTTCATGAATTGCTAATAAGTCAACACACCCAGAGAAGGGCAGCAGGTCATCCCTGAACTTACCATTATACATCATCTTGTGTAAACTAATTGTGTTCATAGTGCATCAAAATACAGTAAAGGTTCATACTTCATCTCTTCTCACCTCCCTCTGTTTCTGGTTCTTCTTACGGAATGACACCCCCTTAAATGCAGTAGGCCATTCTATCATCTCTGCACTGATGAACAAGCTTTGGTCATATGCACTCTTGCAGAGAAACTCCAGTTTTAGCCAACTACCCAAGACCCAGAGGAAAATCCACACACTCTGGATATCATGGTTTGCCACAAGGTGTCTTGATCATGGAAGGATATATCATCCCAAACACTATTTGTAAATTGGATTTTCCTTGGAAGTGCTGAAGCTGTAGGACAGTCATAACTGGAAAGAGAGAGAGAACTCAATGAGATGTGGGGGATGCAAGTGTACTCAGCAGTCCTTATTTTCCCTCAATCTCCCTATCGTCAAGGTTTCTTTTTGGTAGAAGCTGAGTTTTTGTGTTTGTAGTATGGTAGCCACTGTGACATGAGCTCAAATGATGAAAAACATTTGTCCATGCACCCTTACAACAAATTGGTGATTGATTTAACTCGATCAATAAATGTAGTTGCAAGAGTGGCAATGGTTGGATGCATCTTTATGGAAGCTAATCGTAGTTCTTCAATAACATAAGCAAAACATGGATGGATAGGTTACTGTGATTTTTGTGTAGGTTTTTTAAAAACTGTTTTTAAGTTGAATAAATGAAATTCAAGGTTAATTTTTGATTCAACAAATACAAGTCAATCCACAGATTATCAGAGTTCACAATTTCTGTTTAAAGACAACTTGTGTTATCTGGTAGGTCAAAACTTACAAAAATGTATACAGTTTATAAATGCAATTGTATGTATATTTACTTATATTATTTTACATCTCTACCCTTGGACTATTTAATGAGAGTGTGATTTTCTTTGATATTATGAGAATCTGGGTATGACCAAAAATAAAACTTCCAAATCTTCTGACTATATTTAAATTATTTACAGTTTGATCTAACTCTTGCCTTCTGGGTCATATGATTTCTAATTTAGGATATATGAGGAATATATCTTTGGAATCCCTTGAAAAATTCACTTGTTTTCTAAGGACTGTCTATAAGTAGGGACACAGATATTTTCAAGTCCTATTACTATAAATAAAAATAGAAAAAAATTAGAGGGTGAAATAAATTTCTGAGGTTAATTTTTACATATGGTTATTTGCCTTTTTCCTAGACTTTAATTTTTCCAACTAGCTTAATTAATGAGTTTGTGCTATGTACATGCATATAGGAGTCCTAAATATATTGTACATGTTAGTGATGTATTCAGATAATAAAGGGATAAAATCCAGACAAATACATCTATAATGTGTGAAGAAAAGGCTTCCCCAGTAACTAGTGTTATTGTTTTCAAGAGGAGCATCAGTTTCCTCTGCAAATGTGCGCTTATTACATGTTGATGTAGAGTCTTGTCAATGTACAGATTGTGGAAAAATGCTTCTTCACAGGGGTACAGTGTGGATCATGGCAACAACATGGAACATTGTTGTGGATGAGGCCATCCCCATGCTGCAGTCCTTTGTTCTGAGTACAGATAAGATCACATTTCACATGCCCCTTGCTTTAAGGAGAGTTACTCCTTGCTAAGAGCATGGAAGAAAACATGCAAGATTCCCACAGGCTGTATAAGTTTTGCGATTCCAACTGAGAAGGCATGAACTTTGCACATAGCATCATCAGGACAGTGGTCTTTCCCTCATCTTTTCTCCATGTCTCTGGGAGCACAACCCCCCCCCTCTTTTTTTTGACAGGAAGAGTGGACAGTAAAGGAGAGAGAGACAGAGAGAAAGGTCTTCCTTTGCCGTTGGTTCACCCTCCAATGGCCACCACAGCCGGTGCATCGTGCTGATCTGAAGCTAGGAGCCAGGTGCTTCTCCTGGTCTCCCATGCAGGTGCAGGGCCCAAGGACTTGGGCCATCCTCCACTGCACTCCCTGGCCACAGCAGAGAGCTGGCCTGGAAGAGGGCCAACCAGGACAGAATCCGGCACCCCGATCAGGACTAGAACCCAGTGTGCCAGTGCCACAGGCAGAGGATTAGCCTATTGAGCCACAGCGCTGGACACAACCCCCTCTCTTAAGAAACCACTGTTATATGTTCACTCTGAAACTAATGTAAATCTTTACTGCTTTGATCTCTCACAATTTTGGGGTTCATATTTTACCATAGGATAACCTGAGTTACCTTGGAAATACAATCAATTTCCAGCCCAGAATTCTCCAAAGCTACTGTGTTCTATGTTTGGCAGTGATATGTGTGAAAGAATCTGGGATGAGTGTACTCACTAGCAAAGCCCTTAGATCACTTG